ATGAATGCAAAATCAACGCGAATAAATAGGGAAAGTTTTATAATTCCAACTCAATAACATGCTTAAAATTATGGAAATATGCACTATATGATCACAATTGATAACCCACTGTGAAGCGAACATGTCTACAACTAAAAATTTTGAAACAAATTAAAAACTTATAATATACAGGTTCGAGAAGACGGTCTCCTATGTAAAATGCAAAATCTTCTTGAATTTCATTGTATTGTTATTATTTTCGTTCAATATTGTAGAAGATGATTGTCGGGTTCGAATTGTGAAGGAGAATGGAGAAGGAGTGATATTATAAATGACAAAATGACTGTGTTGTTTAAATAAAAGGGGAAACTAGGAATTGACGAAAATACCCCTGTTTAAATTGGTTTAAATTTGCTTTTTTTTTTTTCCATTTTTGATGTCAACTGACGGTGGAACTAATGTTTTCCGTCATTTTGGACTGTAGAATTTCTCAAAGGTTTGGGACCTGTAGTGGCACAAAGTGAAGGTTGAGGTAAAAATCCGCAAAAAATGAAAAGGTTTGGGACGGTGGTTGCAATTTTCCCTTTACATTAATAGTAAGAGAATATTGACGATTCCGATGATTAATTTTAACCAAAATATGTATAACATTCAATAAAAAATCCATACTCTATATTAATAGCAAAAAACGTACACAAAAAACCATCCAATATTTCTGTGCAACCAAGCCAAAAACCATCCAAAAACATACATATATCTTTGGATTTATTGCGATAATGGAAAAAAAAGGGTGTTCCGCACTTCAAAGTTCTTATGGGGGGATTTTTTGTTAATTTGAAAATGTTCGAGCGTTTGATAATATATTCATACGTTGGAGGATCATGTCAATAACATTTTATTAATTATCACATCTTTCTTTGATAATGATTTTTTGGATCATAACCATTCAATGTGGCGTGTTATATTAGTGATAAAAATAAAATCAGATTACAACTCAGAAATAAGGTTAGATCTAACCTCCAACCAGTGATAATCAAAAGAAATAAATTTCATTCCAACACAAAGGAAAATACATGGACAGGTGGTATGAATCCTAGTCTAATTTTAAATTATCTGTGTTTTCATTCATATCACGGTTTACTTATAAGAATCATCTCCCTAATCATATCCACTAGAAGGAGATTTCAATTGAAGCTAGTGGAGAAATCCCCACCTTCCTCAGTAACACCATTTATGTAGCCATAGGCGTCCCTACGTAATCAATAGAGCGAGGATAATATAGTTGTAAATTGAAATAAATCGTCCTCAACATTAACCTTGCACTCTCCTAAATTAGCATCATCAATCTCGCTTTGAATGTTGTCTCAAATCTAATCACGATTGTTGATATCTAATTTGATTGACAGACGATGAACTATCCCACTCCTATGGAGTGTTGGAAGTCCCTAACTTATGCACGAAGTCCTCCTCTGCTTCCCTCAATTTTGGACTCCACTAGGAGCGGGTACTTCTTAAAGTGAATAATAAGACTTTTCTTAAGGGAAGCATTAAGCAAGCCACCAAACACGCCCTTATCTCTATTTGTAACAGCATCCTTCGATTTTTCTGCTATTTGCTATTTTGTCCCTAATCTTTGTAATTTGCAAACCAGTCTCTGAAACTTCCAGATTGTGTCCTTGTATTTTCTACATTCTACCTTGTAAATTAGTCCCTTCCACAATCTGCAAATAGCTCCTCATATTACCACTATCTTTCTATAATAATGGTTTCCGTCGAAGAGGCCATTGGCAGGGCCATCATATTTTTAATAAATAAGTGCGACGTATTTTGGCATATGAACTATTTTCAAGAATGAGATGTGTTAAATAGTGAAATGATTCAGATAATAATTCAACCAAAAAGTTAAGAACATGAATATTACAATGAAAATTTTACATAGTTAATATATCAAAATAGCATCTCGTTTTTACATAATAAATTTAAACACACGGATTCTTGATTCCTTAGTTTACAGGCAAAGATTCATTTGATTAAGCAATGGGCGTGGACGATCTAGAAGAATCCATTGTAAATGTGAAGTCAAATGATTGATAATTTGGGCGAAGGAGTCACTATCAATATCAACTTATGGGTTTTATCTGCCAATCATCAGAAGCCAAATTTTAGATTTCTGCAGGCTAATATTGAAAAGTTAAGGTAAGATGACATTATCCATCATACATAGAGGAGTAATGCTATTCATCCCTATTGGGGATGAAAACACAATTTACGGAATATTAATGTCATTTAATTTCACCTTTCATTTAACTTATCATTTAAAGTTACTTAAACTGTGTTTTCATTCTCATTGGGGATGAATAACATTACTCTATATAAAGGCCCATACGAGACTTTGGTGAATCCTCGGAAAATATTCGTATATTGATCCGANGGGGATGAATAACATTACTCTATATAAAGGCCCATACGAGACTGTGGTGAATCCTCGGAAAATATTAGTATATTGATCCGAACTTTGTATTAAATTTACAAAAATTAAAAATATATCTACGTAGTGGTTTCAAACAAACCTCGATTCAAGTTCAAAGGACTCGGTCTCTTGTTTAAGTTGGTTTGTTCTGAAAAATAAGACATGTACGTAGTTGTTAAATACTTGTTTGATAGTGCTTTCAAGTGTTTCAAAAATTATTTTAATTCATAAATTTCTTAGGACATATGAATTATCTAAGCAGGTTAAACATTTTCAAAAGACTCTTTAAAATAATCTTTTCAGATAACAAAAAGATTTAAAAATTGAATGTGAAGTCGATAAGTACGATTGAATAAAAATTACTTTCTAAAAAGAATTACAATAAGCTAATAGTTTAGTTGATGATGCAATTCATGCGCCATACGTACGCGGGCCATCTATGTAGTTCAAAACTCTAGCCAATCAAAGGGACATTTATCTCATTAATTACTCTTAATTCTGGCCTTGGTCATGTCACTTTCAATTAGAGCCATAGATGTATATTTAATGTGTAAAATTGCACAAAAATAAAATAAATAATATTTTAATAATTTTCTACCTTTTAACCTTTTGTCTAATACAACATTTCATTTGCAACTAACAAACCAACATTTCATATATGTGAGTCATGTGACAGATCTTTGAGCACAAACAACATTTTTGGACACAACTCCGACACTATCAATAACATAACGTGTAATACAACGACAAGATGTGTAACATGGGCCATCTCGGCACACCTTTGCAAAGACTTGATAAGTCATGCCGCGTCGGATCGAGTAATTCATCTCGTCTCATAATTTTTACTTTTTTTCATTTAATTTAAAAAGTAAATACAAAATAAAAATGAATAATGTTACGTAGCATTAGTGTTTGACAACTTCATGTCGTCAAATGATTAGTTGGTCCATACTTAGTCCATGTTTGTCTTCCGTTCTTTTAAAATTCTTTTTTTTACATACTCATTTTTAATCATACATTTACATAATAAAATATTCTACATCTAAACCCTAAACTTTTCCATATTTTTTAAGCACTCATTTTCCAAAAATTCACTATTCAAAACAATATTTTAAAAAAAATGGCTACCAAACAAGGGCTTAGGGAGGCCAATTATTAACGTTACGATTAACCGATTTGATTCCCATTTTCTAAATTTCATTTTCAATAACATATTTTTTCACTAAAATAATTTTGTACATAGATTTATAACTTTTTAATTGCATATTTTTTTTTTTTTTAAAAAAAATACTTTTCACAAAATTTATGGTAAGAAAAATCTCTTTCAGATAAGAAGGAAGTTTTCAAGTATATAGTGTCATTCAATAAAGTTGGTAGACATGAAGGCCACACATACCAGTAATGTGGGGTGGGGTGGGGTTGGGTTGGACACGTTGACACATGAAAATCCTAAGTAAACTTCAAACAGTACCCCTTCCACATGGCAACCTTGTACACCAACAAAACTCCCACTGAGTAGTTGGATGCCCTAATTTCGTCACATTTGGCATTTGTTGGCAGCCATGAAAATGGAAACTTCATCTAATCCACTAATTTTTATTTATTTATTTAAGGTTAATTCTGTCATAACACAAGAATCCTACGTGTAAGAAACACCCTCAATTCAACCCCTATTTAATGAAATCTTCTATCAGTCTCTCTGATACACCAATTCCCTTCCCTTCCCTTCCCTTCCCTTCCCTTGAAAATGGAGTGTAAAAGATTAAGGAAAATGATGAGTAACTTTTTGGCATCGCAAAACAAGATTATACTCTCTCTATCAATAGTGTCGTTAATCTTTTCGAATTCATATTGGTTTTTTGCTTGTTTGAGTTCTTTGAAGTTGTACTTCTCTACATATCCATTCCATCTCCTGGGCCTTGCCTTCAACAAAAACTGCATATTTCTCATTTGCAATGGGCTGTTGGTGTTTGTTGCAAAAACCTCTGGCGGATCGGTTAGTTCTTCCTCTGGTTCTGATGTTAACGAGTTATCGCATAAAAATATTGCGGATAGTTTGCAGCCAACTCTCGAGACAAAAGAACCCACCTTGTTGATTAAGGACGTTATGGACGTGGATAGTACTGATAATGAAGAAAACGAAGAACTAAAGGAAGAAAATGAAGCAGAAGCGTCAAAAGAATTAGAAGAAGAAGAAAAAGAAAAAGTACTAGATGAATGCTCGTGTGTAGATGAAAAGAAACTCACAAACTTGATTATGGAAGATTTAGAAGGCGACGGCCCTGGTGACGGAGGAGGGGAAAACGAGTCCGAAATCGGGTTGCTCTCTGAAGAAGAAGAAGAAGAAAGCATGGAGCAGTTGAGTACGGAAGAGTTGAATAAGAAGTTCGAAGATTTCATACTAAAGATGAAGGAAGATATCAAGATGGGAAGCTCGACACCAACTAATTATATTGGTCAAGTACATTATAATTATGATATCAATTTGGACGACAAGAATTGGCCTATCATTATAGTCAATTAGTTTCTTTTCTTTAGTAGAAAACTATTAGGTTTCTGCAGTTTCTATGTTGCTTTTATGGCCAATGTATTAATTCTATGTAGCATTTACGTTAACCTTGTATATAGATGTCGGAATTGAGTATGATTCAAGTCCTATGAAAACTTCACGCGATGCATGATGTCCACAACAAGGATGAAGTCACATGAGAAATAGTAGGTTACTTCTCTTCTACAAATCAACGGGATGAGGATCTCTTTTACACTTTTAATAAAGTTTATACTATTCATTTCTTTGGTAAAATGTCACCTCGAGTGATTTAAAAAATGTGACACTCTATAGTTGTAAATACATTTTCCACAGAATTTTTTTTAACTACATTTAATATTTACTAAATATTTAACTCTCCTAATAATGTCACTTAAAAATATATTGAAATTTTCTATGAGAAAAGCACATAGAATATCTTCGTAACATTTCGCGTACATTTCACTTTCTATAAAAAGTCGAACTTAGCAAAGTGAGATTAGGGCATCCCCAATGACGATCCCAAAATGGTGGCAAACACTAAAATAGTGCAAAGGAAATGCTGCCCAACAACAAAATTTTTTTCCCTCAGTGTCCTTTTTTTGTTATACTAGTAAGACACACGTGCAATGCACGTGTCATAGTATAGTTG